ATTCGGGGGTGGGGGAGCGGGGGGGGGGGAATCACTTGCACTTGGAGTTCTCTAGAAATGTTTATATAAAATTTTTTGTCCTTTATAAAATCTGAACCTGTTTAGTTTTATTTAAGGAATTCTCATACCAGATACTCTCTCAGTGCTCAAAAAATTCTTCACATAGACAATTGCAACACATTCTTCCAAAACAGGTCACAATATTCACAAGAACTTAATTCAGAAAAGGGGATATTGATGCGTTTGCATAATGACTTTTCAGATAACAGGGACTCTCTCGCTGATAAACAAATTGTCAGTGTTACTGTACTAGAGGTATCTGTCAAATATTTTAAGGCCCATAAACAGACATACATCACCGTATAAGTTCACAGAAGTGAACAGCCTTGAAACAGAACACAGAATCCAAGGTTATTCTTCTTGTGACAACAGAGCTGGAACAAAGATTACTTACTTCTTCTCTGGTGGCACATAATGAAGATTCATATTAGCGTGTGGAGTCATCTGATGGTGCCGAGATCTTTCATTGGCTGAAAAAGCAGCATTAATTGCAAAATGTTTCACATATGACTCCAGGATGGTTATTATATTTGTCTGACAAGGAAGCTTCACTAGCTGAAAAAGAAACAACAAATCAATGTCTTACAAAAACAATTAGTAAGTATACCAAGCTAAAACAGGAGCTTGTAATGTATTGACTAGTTTAGTAAGTCTCTATTGCATGAAGTTATTTCAGGAGTCATTAATTTGAACCCTTAAACTGCATTTTTTGATCAATCCTTTATAAACATCTGGAGAAACAAAAATATGGTCAGGTCAACAAGCTTACTACATTTCCAGCTTCAAAAAACCAATCTGCACTGCAAAACACAATTGTGTACTGAAATGTTACATTCTTAAATATAATGACAAGTCACTGTTTTAGCTACAGAGAATTCTGCTCCCAACACTCTTTTTTACTCTTCCTTATACTAAGCTCACCTTTGCAATAAAGTTCAAAAAAACCAGGAGCTGTTATACACAAGAACTACTTTTTATGCCCTCCCCACCCCCCCCATGCACATTCATTTCATAGCTTTCACTTCATACCCGTTTTCTTCTATTAATATAGTAACAGTCTTCCTCAAGCTTCTTTTTCAAGACTTCAGGAATTTCTATGCTTATTGCTCTTTCTTCCATGTCCCTTTTTGTGTGAGTGTCTTGTTCTTCTTTCTACAACAGATCAGTGCAAGAAACAATATAAAATCGGTTGTGCTTATGAACATTAGTGAAAAAGAACTTCAATAGGCAGGGTACAATTCAACAATCAAGTTTTGTCATGCAAAAAAAAAAAAACTATAGTAAATATTTAGTAGTAGCCTTACTGTAAGCAATTTAACAATACTGCTTTGAAGTCATCTGTGAATTCATTTTTTAAAAGTTTTTTTTTTAATTTAGCATTCGCTTAAGTATTTAACACAGAATGAACAGAATTCAGTTTTGCTGCTTCAGATCACCCACACTGTAGTAGTTAGATTTCGCAGACCTTCAGAACAACTCTTTACGCTGTACTTTCTTTTCAATAATGTAGAGAAAATAACTGTTTTTTCTTGAAGTTAGTCTCCTACATTTTAAGAACAGAGTTGACATGCCCATTTCACAATAAAATACAAAAGCCAGAAAGATCCTGCTGCTATTAGGATTTGTCCAACCTGCATAGACCAGTAAAATTTTACAGCACCCAAAAATCTGGATAATCTAGGTTGCCAAGTTTTCTCCACATAAGCCTTATGTGTAGAAAGAGAAGAAAAGAAACAAATGTGTATTTTTAGATTAATATCAAAGAATTCTACAAGAATATGATGTCTCCTATAATTTTCAAAAACTCAACCACAGTGAGCACCAGGAGTAAGAAAATTATGCTTTTAATTCCATCTAAATAACCAGCTGTGGCCTGTATTTCACCTACTTCAATTTTTCTGGCATTTCAAATATAGATGTTTAAATTCTATTAAGTTAAGGAGCTCATGAACATACCATTTCTGTCCTCTCTTCTATGTCACTTTCTTCACTTTTTATTTCTTCATCTGTTCCTTCATCACTGTCATCAGAAGAAGAACTACTTATAGCTGTGTAAAAGAGATTTCACATATTTAAGTCACATTATTACATTGCAGAGGTTAAGACCAATTTCAGGCCTCAATGCAAAAAAGACCCAAAACCCCCAAAAACCCAACAAAACAACTCACAACTAGCTTGTTATATTTAATGAGGATGAATAACTCTAACTGAATTAAACACACAAGTATTATCTACAGCACACTATAAACTTCTTAAATATGTTAAGACAAGAAGTTTACAGGAAGTGTTCTTGCATCCTCTCTAATCGAAAAACACTCACTTTTAAAAGCTCCCTACATTTCTGAACACTCACAGGTCTTTTCAATTTTTATTGGACTTTAGTTCTGAACAGGAGATTAACATACTAATAATTCAATCAGAAGGTCTGGATCTGTGCAGCAACAGTTACCAGAACATCAGTTAAGTACCAGCCAGTGTTCCTGCTGGTTTTCAAGCTACAAAGAAAAATGCTATGAAATGAAAGAGCTGGCTTGAGAGTGAAATCAGCCAGTCACCTGACAAGAAACAGACCTTTGCGCCAGGCGGACTGGGGAAAGAGACAGTCTTATTGCCCCCTAAAATATATAGAAAAACTAGCAGGGAAAGCATCTTGTTTTCTAACACCAAACAAAGAAAACTAAGGGCTTCTCGCACCTGGTAATACTACACTAAACAAAGCAGCATTAAGCTCTGAAATCACTGATCAGAATAGCTCAGTGGAAGTGACACAAGAAAAAGCCTCTGGAACACAAGAAGAAAGGAGATAATATATGCTTAGCATGAAACATAGTGCTCACTCTTCATAAGACTGCCTCCATATATTTCAAGCAGGACTGTGATACTCTCGTGTCATCCTAATAGCAAGTTACAGCATGCTCTGTACCCCCAGCTTCAAAAAGTTAAAGGCATCATGCCAGCTGTCAAAGAATGAAAACAAGCTCACAGTTTTCACTGCTCTCATCATTTTCTTCGGCAGGAAGGCTTTTTAATACAGAGTCAACACCAGGCAACCTGCAACGTCTCTTCTTTCTTCCCTTTCTTCTCCTACAGAACATAAAATGGTTCACTGAGATTTGGCTAATATTATTTAATTTGTTTATCCTAGCTAATTACATGCAAATGCACAGGAAACATATGTTTGAGTTATTTTCAATAATTAATGTTGAAATAATTTGGACAATGCTTATTTGAGAGTAGATACCTTAACGTCTGTACATTACCTCATATTCGTGTTCTCAAGCAGATCCTCAAGCCATGGCCAACCAATATTAGATTATTGCCTTTGGCTGAAAAATACTTCAGGTTTTCCTAAGTTATTTTTCAAGTACATTTCTTTGGGAAGATGTAGATCCAATACACAGGCATTTCGCAGCAGTAGTTAAGAATAACATGGTTATTAAGTGTTAAGTCATTTAGAGTGTTGTTTAATAACAGTATGTAGGTATCTACCTTAGTATGAGAAGAGTAGCTCTCTAAAACGCACTGACTATACTGAGTAGATATGTACCATCTACAGCATGAGCTTAAAGGCCAAGCTCACTTGCAGACACCTGGATGTACCTGTTTGAATCTGAAAATGAATCGCTCATTCATTTTGAGACCAAAAGGATTTCTTACATGCGAGCCACAGCCTTCCGTGCCAATTTACGCTGTAATCTGCGGTTTTCGTCTGTATCACGAAGAACATGATCTTCAGCTGCCCATCTATCCCAGCTAAGGATAGGTCAAAAGAAAATTATTAACGGCTATAAATATATGCCACTCATGATTACTAATGAATTAACACACATTAAATCTAAAAAGCACTCTTTTAGTGTCATTCAGAAGCAATACCTGTATCGCAAGGTTTGCAATCCTTTTGTATTCCCATGGCTTCAACTCTCATGTTGCTATCTAAAACCTCTCAAACCTTGACTTAACATGCAATAGTGTTTGTAGCACCGACACATGCTATAGATCACAAGAGACTGCACTCACGTACTAGCCTTGATAACCAGACAGTCCAGGTCTAGATTTAACATAGCATGAACTCCTTTCATTAACGGAAACCTAGGAGCCACAAATATATGCCAAAGACAGATACCTCATAAAGTTTAAACTCATGGCTATCAAACTGATCCACTGAAATTAATTGATACAGACCAACGTGAGCAAGTATACTAAAGGCATTCACAAAACCAAAAATACTCATGCAAACGTCAAACTCCTTTGATATTCTGTGCAATGCTTTTCTTTGAAGAATAAAATAGAAGAAATGAAACCACACACCCAGGTTCTTACCTTCTGTTCCAACCATTAAAATGGATCAGATATTCTGGAATCTTTCTGCCTTTCTCATCTTTTCCAACAACAATATCAACAATCTGAAAGAAATATTGAATAGCATATATTAAAAAGCTTGAGAAAAAGTGAGCTTTCCAGTATTTAGGGAATTTATGCACAAAGAAAAAAAATGTTTATTTACAGAAATGAAATATACCTATAATTTTGCTAGTAAATATTAGAAGAAGATATGGATTATACTAAATGGTCAGAAAAACTAGCTTTATTATTGAGCACTTTTAAGGTTGGGGACTGCTAACCATCTTTGTCCTGTCCTCAAATGTCCCATGCTTTCAAGACAGACAAAGGGGGATGCAAAACAATGCAGTATCACAATACGGATATGCATATATACATCTGGACTGCTAACGTTTTCTTCTGTGTGCTGTCTCTGCATGCCCTCAAAGCAGGGGACAACAGAGGTTTTTATATATATATATAAAAACCTCAGTAACGCTGCTCTCTTGAACAACACTGAATCATAGCCACAAAACATTAAAAGGCTTTGTGAATATCTGAGCATTTGTTTTCTTCCTCTCTTTCACACATGTAAAACTGGCAAGTCTGAAAGGGCTGGCATCTCAAAAGACATGTCAGGTGGATCATTAAGAAGAGCATCAGGACTAGTAATAACAAAGGAGTCATTCTGCCTGCACTTGGACCATATATCTCCAGATGCACCCAGCTACAGTAATGCAGAACTAGCTACAGTAATGTTTTAACTTGAGAGTCCAGAATTTAATAACTATTGATGGAGTCAAGGACAGTTATGCTGGAGTTTGGGGTATGTGAAAGTAAAGAAGAAAAGGCACTGTTATTTTTTGCACTCAGGTTTTTGCACACATGACTGGCAATTAAAGCTGTTGGGGTGGTCAGAACATAGGAATACATGTACAAACAAGACAGCAGCCCAAAATATTGCAGGAAGGTAGAGTTCCTGACCAAAAGATGTTTGAAAAACACTGATCTACACAACTAGCAACCTTGCAGCAAAAAGCATGGATTTGATCGGGAATCCAGTTGCAATACCTCCCTTTTCACCCCTCTCTGTAACAAAACAGAAACAGAGCTCTGTTTGCAAGTTAGGTACAGACGACTTAGGAATGAAAAATTATCCCGTGTCCCGCTGATAACCCAAACCGATGTTATATTTACAAACGCTACGATTACTATCGCTATTCTTAAGGCCAGGCCCCGGAGAGTCGGTCACCTCTCACTGCAACACCCACGGCCCGCCACTCGCTGCTTGCTGTCCCATTTCTGTGTGCCCTCCGGTACCGCCCCGACCCTTCCGAACGGCACAAGGGCGGGCAGCAAGGGCAGGAGAGCTGGGAGGGGGATAAATCAAGCTACGCTACGAAAGTACAGGGATGAAAGTAAGATTTCAGAATTACTTTGCAGGCGTTCAGCCGGGAACGGAAGGCGGGAACCGAGTCCGACACTTCCCAGAGCCCCTCGGCGGCCTCGCTCATCTACCTGACGCGAGAGGAAGGCCCCGACGGCCCGGGCTCCACCGCCCCTTTGTCACCAGGCAGCGGGACGCCTGAGGGAAGCCGAGGGGCTCCCGCACAACCGCTACGCGCACACCCCCGGGGGGGGGGGGGGGCGGAGGGCGATGACGGCGGCACAAGGACGGGGAGGAGAGACCCTGGCGGGGATGGGCACCGCCTCGCTTTGTCTCCCAGCACCGTGACGGCAGGGCGGCCGCCTCCTCGCTCCCTCCCTCCCCCCCCCCAGACCGGCGGCCGTTCCCCGCAACAAGTGCTGCGGGCGGAGCC